ACCTTAATGAGCAATACAAATTTCATCAACATTATAGCTAACAAGTAAATCACATRTAAAATCGCCACATACCTTCTCGAAAATAAGCCATCTGACAGGTATATGCTCTCCCATGTAGGGYTCCTTTTCCAATACTTSAAYAATCCTTGACTGCAAGCGTTGTATTCCATTGTCAGCTGATGACAGAGTATTATTCACAGTGAAGAATGGCTTCACCAAATGTTGCTGAAAACTTTTTCCAGACAGGCTCTTTTTGATGACTATTTCCATTTTCTTGGGYTCWGCAWAAGGCYGATCRGCATTGGTRCCAACTAYAATCACTGGAGGTYKCAGGTATGGACAATYTYCAGGAAYMTTYWTGGASTCACTACTTTYMRMTTCCTCWTCCTGGTCRCTGATTGGTCGAATGYTGTGTATTGAGGCCAACCATGASAGTAWTGMTTCTAGGTTKGTCTSYTTATCAGCATTYTCYAAGAGRATGTCAAAGGCACCTTGTCTTACACAYGGCTCTGCTTCGGAAGCAAGATCTTTACTAAGATTATAGACCAATAAATAAACAGCTCTTGGAGACATAAACACAGGGTGTGAAGCATAGTAAAGATGTTGGCCTGCAAAGTCCCACATACTGACTATTGTCTGGGACTTTGTTGAGGAATCATCAAGATGTAGTCCTTGCAAGTAGTGAACCACTTTTTCAGTGATATCTTCCGGGACAGAATCTTGTTTTGGTGCTTGACTTGGACTGTCTTCGAGAATTTCATGTGTTTCTGAGATAGYTGGATTATCAGAAACTTCTAATGGAACATCTATATTTTTGTTTGTGCTATCGACGTCATTAGTATCAGTGTGATCTTCCTCCTGAAATAATAAACACATAATACGTTATGATTGGGAAATGCCTGCAGGCTGTTACGTCTGCCAATCAGTCATTTTATAGTCAATAATGATAGTGATGATGATATTGATTATGATGATGATACTTGCTGATGAAAGTGATGAAATTGACGGATTGATTGATTGTTTCACGATGTTTGAACTCACATTTACTGTTTGTTGGACTATTTCTGTATGATCACTCTCTTTTTTCTCATTCGTATCCTCTTGTTTTGCTTCTTGTTCTTCATTTTCATCTTTCTTCAGATCATCAGCAATCAATCTTGCAATATTATCAGCAAAGTCCGTGTGAGTGGAGTCAGTCATCCTCTGCCAATTCTTGACATTGTCAACATCAACACTGCAGCAAGATGGATCAACTTCAACACCAACTGTACTCTCTTCTCTAGGATCAAATGGCAGCCCAAGAAGAGACTTCTTAAGACTAGTTTTACCAGCTCTTTCTTGTCCAACAAGCATGATACGGCCTCGATTCACAACTACTTTACCATGCATTAATGCCCTGCGATAAGCAAGTTCTGCCCTCGGTCCTCGTGCCTTTATCTCTGTTGGTACTGAGACAAAATAATACATTATTTTTACAATTTCTCTTCCTTTGAAGTTGAGCTTTAGTATCTGTAAATTTTATCAGCAAGAATTGACTTAATATTATGTTAGGAATAGATCCATGACAATCCATATCTTTTACTGTTTTATATAAAAATGTCTATAAATATATCAGCTATTGCAAACAAACAAACAAAAAAAGAGTTACTTTGTGTTCCTTCTTCACAATCAGCATCTGTTGCATCACTGACAATATCTGCAAGGAAGCAAAAATTAAGACTATATTATCTTAAGTTTAAGAAATATTAAATGAAATGTCAAAAAAATGGAAATAACATTAGGGGAACTGAAAAAAAACTGAATGGAAAGAGGATGAAACGAATAGGATACCACAGGTAGGATAGAAAGTGAAGTGCAGAGTAGAAAACTGGTTGAGAAACTGTGAAAAAAGTGGAAAATGGAGGGTTGCAAAACACGAGAAAAGGATTTGAAGAAAATGGACTTAAAGGTGCCRCAGGGCTTCATTTGTTACCTGTGTCGATGATTGGAATTGCCAGATTTCCATCAAACAAACCAACTCTTCCATCCTCCGCCTCTCCTAACCAGAAATTATCTGAAGGCTTGTGGTGCTCACTTGAAATGGTAAATATGTCAAGGCAAAGTGAATACAATATAGAAAGAACAATGATTCTGTATTCCAAACTTTATGAGTTAATAATATTGAAAAGACTGCATGTATTCTACCTGCTCAAAGACTTGGAAATAACAACAACATGTTCTTCTTTCTTAACTGAAATATCACCAGGRTGCTGTGCTTTGGTGTCTGCCATCATTTCAACCATGGGTGGAAAATCCTGTCAACGAATACATAGACTTTGTTATATTAATTTGTCCATCAAACTCATAAATAATTCATTGTTAAAAATAAGAAGATATGAAGATCTTTATCACAAGGTTGGAGTTGAATTTCATCAACTTCAAAMGTCCTCTATAAACTTACTTTCYTTTGCAAAACTTCAAAGATTTCTTCATAAGAAGGAACAGTGGTGTCCTTGTGCAACCAACATTTTTTCAGCAAAGGCATTAAAACCTCTGGACAGTAATGACTAAAACGTACATTTTTCTGCAAAAAGAAAGGTATGAGCTTCACTATAAGAGAAAACTAGGAAAACACAGTGATTATAAAAGCTGAAAAGGTGAGTTTGCAAAATGTTCCATCKAAACCTTCAAATTAACTTAAATTTTAATTAACTTTTAAATTAAAAAAAAATTCTTAGTAGTTTTGAAGATTTTTATTTTGATAGTGCTTCAAAATAAATCATGAATTATAAAGTCGGGAATATGAAGAGGTTTTTTTTAAGGTCAGTGTGTTCATCATTCGTAAAATAAGTATTACCAATTATTGGTTATAGGTRCTTACATCTTTATGGTTTCTATAGGCAATCTCTTGAGGACGCTGTCTTTCCAGCARAAAGAAAATTCTCTCCACAAAAACAGCAAACCAGCCTATCATTCCTTCTGTACCTTTGATTGATGGGTTACCTATCAAGTGCATTGCAGYGCCATATTTATCCTGCACCACATTCTTCCTGGAAAACAAAAAGGGAAATCCCACAATCACAGTCATGCTAGTATTTTAAAGGGCTACTACTAGGACGAACATTGCGAAACATTAGAAAATACTTGGAAATCAAATAGACCTATCCATATGAGTCTAATAATCATGAAGCAGATTTCAAGAAGATATTGATACAAATCCTTAAAATAATGTTGTGAGTAAATGATGTCATTTACTCCATGCTTTTGTTCTTTCATCTTTTGAATCAAAATTTATCTGATGGGGGATAATTCCAAAACAAATATTTTCCCGCAATTGTTTTTAATAGATATAAATGAGTCATATATTTGTATTGCTTGAAGTGTTTTGAGATAAGGACATTTTCATGCAAGTAGCACTTGACAGCTGTAGGTCAGCAAGAATAACATAGTATACTGAGCCATTATATTGGACTTACATAATTCTCCTGTCAAAATAAACTTACTTGTCATGAAAATAGCTTTTTTTCACACAGCCACCAAATCCACCAATTTTAATCTGTTGCAATTTCACAAAATTATTTTGATCAATATCATTTTTATTGTCATAATTGATATATAGTTATTAAAATTGCACAAATTACAATACAAGTAGTAAAATTACGTGACAGTCTCCATTAATTTCATCATCTCATGGAGATCCCGAGAATGACAAGCAAGAGAGATATTCTGGGACAAACATTTTATTCCATTGTCAAAATATCACTGGCAGATCCAGGTGTTTTGTGGGCTCATTGGGTGTATAAGCAGCACCCYCCCCCCCCCCCCCCCAACACCCCTGCCCCGCCCATGCCCACAACCCCACACAATGACATTTATTTAGGGTGTCCCTTATTTAATCTACTCAACTTCACACAAAAATGCATCACCTGTACCCACAACTATGAAACATGATAAAGGACTGTCCTCTACATTCCTCAAAGAAATAAAAGTTCCCTTTTTTCATATAGCAGAATTATCAGAATAAGCCAAGCATACCAAATTAGGAGAAAAGATGAACACAGCAAATTCACTCAATCTACAATGAACATATCCCTTGGTGTCCACAAAATGAAGAACAGTCAAGATTTGTGGTATTATTTTACAGAAGTTCTTGACAGTAACCAAATTCAGGGACTCTACAATGTTACCATTGGGAGCAAACTCCATCACCTGTGAAGAATAATAATTATTAGTAAAGGTTATTTCAACAGGATACTAACTTATCATTTGAACAACAGATTCACACTTGATATTCGCAATGCTACAATAATTGTCTTTGAAAATTATGGCAGCAGAATTGAACTCAATATCTTTTTATATTTTCCAAAATTCTCAAAATAAAAACAAGAGAAGCTTTAATATCATGATACAGCATGTTAAAAAGTTACAAAAGTCAAGAATTGAGGACAACTTTCACTTTCAGCTTGCAGCTATCACTTCTTCCATGCTCTCACCACTTTCCAGCAATTGCTTTCTTTATTAATAAATATATAGCATGGTGAATCCTATTCTGTGATTCATTAACACACATACCAGTGCAATAGAGTCAACATAAGGACCAAGCGCTACTACCCCATGTAGTTTGAGTATATTTGGATGGGCTAGTTTGGATAGCATTTTAGCTTCGTTGAGAAAACCTTCCAGCTGATGACGGCTTCGAGGATAACGCAGGCAAACCCTAATCTGGAAGAAGAGGAGTGATCCTATAATTTACAGCCTTTATATAGTGTATAGTCATTACCACCCCTCCCTCCAAGAAACATTTGTGCTGCAGGGGGAGGGGGTGATGCCATTTACTCCATACTTACTGTTTTCCCATTTTGGTTCAAAGTGGCTGACAAGGCTACTCCTGACAATGGGCCAGTTCCAAGTCGTTTTTGGACTGTGATGTCAGACAATGGGATGATGGGTACMCCTTCTTTTGCAAGCTCTGTCTCGTAGTCAAATTTGCCATGTTTCTGATAATTGACAGAATAATCATGTAAGTATTTGTACATCAAAGCCAACCTCATCATACATAAGAAAGAGATAAACTTTGAGAATTTATAATGAATAYATAAGTACCTTAGCTAGTTTATTGAAGTCAGTTTTTTTGTCTGATGACAAGCGACATGCTTCTTTTAGTTTGCCTGAATGATTTATCCCTATTTTTTTGCTTGTGGTAGTTGACACAAGTTGTTTCAGGTCATCAAGGGATTGTACTCCATGCTCAAAACAGAGCTCTGGAAAGAAACCTGGGATTTCTTTCTCAGACAGAGACAAGTAGAGCCGATCAAAGTCAGTGAAACTTTCCTTTTCAGTTTGTCCATGCTATATTTTGACAGAAGAACAAAAATAGTTACAAAATTATTTCAGGTATGCATGCTTATGTCAAACGATCAACGGAATTTTTATCATGTTATTTAGAAATTCCCGTATTTGTATCAAATAAGCAATTTCCCTACATTGTTATATATAGCAATGAGTAATAATACAGAACTTTAACTTACGAGCACGATGAAATCTGCACTGTAAAAATAAAGTTACAATAAATATAGTCAAACCTAAGTTAACAAGTAATCTTATATCTCACCTCGAATGTTTCGTTAGTGTTAGTATCATCTGGCATATCCTTAGTCATGTTACTTGTTAGATAACTTACAATAAAGCAGTCCCTACGTTAATTTAGCGTTAGAATAGATTAGAAATCTCAKTATTTTATGAGGAAAAATGTCATATTGAAACGAAAAAATTCAMTATTCTCTCACCAAAATGTCGTGCCTCAGTCTTTTAAACATCGAAGAGTTTATCGAAGACTTAACTATTGCAAAATCGAGGTTTTTCGGTGCTTCATACCCCTTGTACCTCCTCCCAAGACGTAAACACAGTCAGCATAAATTAGCATTAAGTTCCGGTGTTTACATTACCACAGGAATCCCGTAAATATATCATTGTTCTCCAATGCTTTAGTACAATCCCGGACAAAACATTCGAGATATTTCTTGAAATATGTTAAATTTCGATGATCTATCTGCACATTTCTGTAAAAATCTCTCCCTTTCCCCCTCAAATCAAAGTTGAAAGGACTGAACAATCATGCACACCCTTCTGAGCACACGTCACACACACACACATTGTTTGGTGTGGGGAGGGGAGGATCAAAATCAGTGATATGAGAAATGAGATATGAGAAATGGGGACATTTTGGAGTGAAAAAATGCCAGTGTCTCAACGGGTTTTAGCCAGGATTGTAGTTGAGTTTTGAAAAGTTCGCATCTTACGTATCTTAAGCGACAACAGATTTTTAAAATACCCCTAAGTTCCAAAGGGTACATCCGATTTTTTTTTACTCTAACAGAATGTGGGCGTGTCAACACGCGATAAAACTTCGGCAGGAGAGCTTACAGCTGTAATGAGTGCAGTACGTGTCTAGTGTACAAGTTGCATGATATAATTTCTACTAAATACAATTGTGATAAAAAATTATATATATTTTTAATATTGACAAAAGTTATTTTCCAACATTTTACTAAAATTATATCTTAAAATCTTAATTTTACTAATATACTAAACTTTTCAAAGGAAGGTTCACGTAGGTGGATTACAAATTACCCTAAAAAAAAACTTTATCACTATTTCGAGGTGTGTACTTTAATCTTTCGAACTAATTCATCCATTTTTGCTTGGTATCCCTGTGTCATGTCAATGTACAGGAGTTTGGCAAAAAT